ATGTACTTGATCAGAAAGGAACTTGAAACTACCTTAAGTTAAGATTTCAAGTCCAGCAGTGCAACCATTTGGCCATGCTGACTCACCAAATCTTTTCTTGATTTCAATGAGAATACATGCCATTAAAGATCAAATCAATCTATATTCACTCTATTCTTTCCCTTGCTGAACCTAAAAATCCCCACTGGCTCATTGGAAACAAACAGCCTCAATTTATAAAATAATGCTAGTTGCCTTATGATTGGGTAGTACCTGAATACTTTAAAAAATTCAACAATGCAAACCTCAGAGATGTATCAATTGACGTTGACCAGAAGCAATGCTGATTAGTGTGACAATACTCCAAACCTGTAATCTTTGCAGAATGAGCTATAAATTATGAAGAAAAAGTATAAACATCACCTTCATTGATGTTTTCAAAGAACTCAATCATGACATGAGTAGTAGTAACTTCCGCTCTTGGAATTAGACTAACTATATCAGTTCTTTTCTTTCAGTTCAAGTGCTGAAAATTGAATATTGCACCCTGTATCAGAGATGTCCTCCATATGCACAAAGTTGTTAACGTCAAATGGGATAACACAAATTTACCTTTAAAATCTCCAACGTAAAGCAGTGTATCCAGGTTAAAAAGCTTTATAGACCCCTGGGGACCTACAAGGTAGCATATTATATGTATACATCATATAAAGTAAGAATTCTTAAGGGTTGTCAACAGTAGCTGGTTGGCAGCTAAAATCACCATCTACTTGAAGAGATCACAGTTCGGGGAGAGGGGAGACTCCAATATACAAAGGATGGGGGTGCTTGCCGGAAATTTTGAATAGAATCCCTAAGAGGTATCAAGATTCAGTTTTGTGGGTGTGGCTTGAATTTTTTCCCACCCCTAAGAGGCACCAATTCAAAAGCAACACATTTAACTGACACTGACTTTTTTTTGGCTCAATACCCTAAAAGGTACAGTCGAACCTCCATTATCTGGACTCATTGGGACTAGACAAAATAGTCCGGATAATCAAGGGTCCGGATAATCGAAAATATGAATATTAATGAAGAACAAAACTCTTTAAATAAACCAACATTTAATTGTAAAACAACACTTTTACAAATCGTTTGGAAAACAATATGGTCTACTGTACATCTTGAACCACTCAACTCCGAGCCAATCAGAACTCATTCAAGTGTTCTTCATTAGTTACGACGCGTGCAAGTGCTGCTTTTGCTCTTTAAAAGTAAAACAAACTTGCTTTTGACTGCACTTTTCAATGCTATAGTTTCAAAAAGAATATTGCTGCGGATATTGATCGTGACTAATAAATAATCATGACAAAATTTGGGACTGGAGAGAAAGTCCGGATAATCGAGAAATCCGGATAATCAAGGTACGGATAATCGAAGTTCGACTGTACTGCAAAAGCTCCTGTGTAGACCCTTTGAGGCTGAACACCCAAGAGGTACGAAACCCTCTTTTGGAA